AAAGACACCGAACATTCTCAATTATTTGAAGCAACGGATGTGATAATATGGGATGAGGCACCTATGTCTCACAAGAACTGCTTCGAAGCATTGGATAAAACCCTTAAAGATGTAATGAGCAAAAAGGGTGTTGAGAATACTATTTTTAGTGGAAAAGTTGTTGTATTTGGAGGAGATTTTAGACAGATTCTTCCTGTTCTTCCAAGAGCTGGGCGTTCTGATATTGTTCATGCATCAATTAGTTCATCTTATGTATGGGATTATTGCCAGGTTTTAACACTATCAAAAAATATGAGACTTCAAGAGGGAAGAGACAACACAAGTTCTAATGAACTAGCGGAATTTTCAAAATGGACTTTAAATGTGGGTGATGGTAAGATTTGTGAACCCAATGATGGTTTGGTTGATATTGAAATTCCTCAAGAGCTATTAATATCAAATTTTGATGATCCTATAAGAGCAATTGTTGAAAACACATATCCCAATTTGTTGGAAAAATATCAAGATGTTGAATTCTTACAAGGAAAGGCTATTCTTGCTTCAACCATTGAAGTTGTGGACAAAATCAATCATTATGTATTAGACTTGATACCAGGTACATTTGTTTTATATTTACTGTATTATTACATTCATAATATATATATATATATATATATATATATATATATATATATATATATATATATATATATATATATATATATATATATATATATATATATATATATATATATATATATATATATATATTTAAGAACATAGTTTTACTAATTTATTTATGTTTTGCTTTTAAACTTTTTTTTAGGAGAAGAGAAAGAGTATTTGAGTTTTGATTCCATTGATAGAACAGATTCAAGTTATACTGAAGCATATGAAGTTCTAACTCCTGAATTTCTCAGTAAATTAAGAACGTCAGGGCTTCCCAATCATAGGATCAAATTGAAGGTTGGTACACCTATTATGCTAATGAGAAATTTGGACCAAGCCGATGGATTGTGCAACGGACCAAGATTAATTGTTACAAGATTTGCAAATCATGTCATTGAGGCAAAAATCATGTCTGGAAAGAACATAGGTAACATTTTTTACATTCCACGAATGTCTATGTCACCTTCTGATTCACCTTGGCCATTCAAGTTGATTAGGAGACAATTTCCGATTATTGTCTCCTATGCAATGACAATTAATAAGTCACAAGGTCAATCTCTTGATAGTGTTGGATTGTATTTGCCTACTCCTGTGTTTAGTCATGGTCAATTATATGTTGCAATTTCAAGAGTTAAGAGCAAAAGTGGGCTAAAAATCCTAATTCATGACAAGGAGAATGTACCGTGTTCTACTACTACTAATGTTGTGTACAAGGAAGTCTTTCAAGCACTTTGATAGTTGGTAAACTTTATATCTTATACTTTACGATTCAAATTAAAAATCTATTTTGAATTAAAATATATAGTATGTACATTTTCCATGTATTTCAAGAAGTATATAATTTTTCCTATTTGTTCATGCAGACGTGATTTGTTGATAGGACCGACGCTTGCTACAAATATGGAGTTAAATGCCAACATGGTTTACATGAGACATATACTCAACTGAAAACATGGTAACATACTTAATAATTTAATAATCTATAAATGTAATGTGAATCCAGACGAGACTCGTGCGATAGCACGGGTTTGTTACTAGTAGTCATATAAAAAGCACCACTAAATGACAATTTATGTATTAAAGTAAATAAAATTAAGTAGGGGTGTTCAGATCCAATCTGATCAAAAAAAAATCCAAAAACCGAATCGAAAAAACTGAAATCCAAAAAAAACTGATTTTTTTTGGATGTATTTGGATCACCATGTAGCATAACCGACCGGTTCGGTTCGGTTTACGGTTGGCTTCATGAGAAACAAACCGGTCCAAACCGAACCGGTATTACTTTCATTTACTTGCCATTTATTATTTAAAATAAATTAATATCGAATCATTTATAGCCATCCTCCCAAATTAATTATGTTAGCCAGCACTATATATAATGCAGTTTGTCATATTATTATTATATATTCCTTGTGATGCAACTTTCGCATGTCCACTGTTATTGATATTTTTCTCGAAGTTTTATTATTATATTCGCTTTAATATAGCTTTGGAATCTTCATTTGTTCACTGTTTTATATATTTGTCATATATTTAATTTATAATACAAATCTCCATATAAGAACTAAGCATATCTCCATATATATTATATATTATAACCATGTCTATTTCGTTGGGGTAAATATTATACATATATTATAATGAAACTTTGCAATAATGACATCAAATAGCCATATGAACATAGCAATTAGATATTGTCTCGGTAGACGTTGGTGGCATAATTGTAACTGGTATTGAAATATATTCTTTTTAAATTTCTAAATAGCGTTGGTTTAAAAACCGAATAAAACCGATTCAACCGAACCGAAGTAAACCGTATAAATTGGATTGGATTGGATTGGATTTTTCTTGTTGTCATCCAAAAACCGAACCAAACCGTATGCTTTATATATTTTTGGATCGGATGATATTTTGTCTCAAAACCGATTCAAACCGGACCACGAACACCCCTAAAATTAAGAGTAATTTATTAATCCATGATAAAAATGTTTTCTTTTATAGTTATTTGTGTTATTAATATTTTTATTTAAAAAATATTTTTAATTAAAGATATAATAATTTTTAAAATAATATAGGCTTAAATGCAGTTTTGACCCCCCTAGTTTAAGGTTTTTGGAGTTTCGATCCCCCTAGTTTAAAAGCCAGGTTTCTAGTCCCCATAGTTATCAAATTTGGGATTTTTGAAGCCCCCTCCATCTGGCTGCCCAAAAAGTTTTCAAATTTGGGATTTTTGAAGCCCCCTCCATGTGACATGGCACATGGAGAGTAATGCCACGTATTATTTTCTTATTTCTTATTTAGAATAATATTTTTTAAACATTTAAATAAGTGATATTAATTTCCAAATGAATTTTTAATTTCATAATTCATATTTTCTGAAAATCCCAAATTGCTTAACCTAATTTCCTCTTCCATCCGCCCGTACAAGATTTCAAAAATCCCAAATTTGAAAACTTTTTGGGCAGCCAGATGGAGGGGGCTTCAAAAATCCCAAATTTGAAAACTATGGGGACTAGAAACCTGGCTTTTAAACTAGGGGGATCGAAACTCCAAAAACCTTAAACTAGGGGGGTCAAAACTGCATTTAAGCCAATAATATATGAAAATTTTAAATATATATTATTGATTATAATATAAAGAGACGATGTTTTTATTGCATGGGTATCACATGTGAACGCATATGTAACAAATTAGTATAATGTGAACGCACATGTAATCATATCAAAATTTGTGCGAACACACAGATAACACATTAGTGTTGTATGAACGCATTAATAACTATATTAAAATTCGCGTGAACGCACATGTTTAATATATGTAAAATTAAAATATATATTTTTGAAATAAAACAATTTTGGTAAAACAATTTTAAGTATCTTTTAAAAAAATGTCTTTCTTTTAAAATAATATTGTTTTTATGATTTACATTTTATTATATTTTAAAATAATTATATTTTTGATTAAAATATTTTTATATACAGAAGAAATTATTGAAACCAATTGGTTATTTCTTTATAGCTAAAAAATTATTTTGGTTAGACAATTTTGTCTTTTTTCCATTTTATTTTTCTTATTATTCCATTACATTTTAAAAATAAAAATATGCATACCACGTCAGTACCCGTGCGTACGCATGGATAACATTTAAGTACGGTGTGAACGTACGGGTAACCATACCAAAATTCGTGCGAACGAACGAGTTATTTTATTTTTTGTACAACATTAAATTTAATTCTTTTAGATCATTCTAAAATTATTTTTCTACTAATTTTCAACTAATTATAATTTTAGATATTTATTTGTCTAATTTATTAAATTTTATAAATTATTTTATTATTACAACTGTATCAATCCAAAAAATATTTTTTATATTTTTTTCATAATTTTTTTTATAAAGTATGTCTTTTTAAAAAAAATTCTTAACAATAATTGTTTTTAATTACTTATCCAATTTTTCATTTTTTTCCGATGATATTTATATGTTTTATAATTTATTTGAATTTCTATTGGTGACAATTTAGTAGCCCATATCGATAGGTGTGTAGGCGCACCAGTATTCCATTAATTCTAAAATAACTATGTTAAAAATTTCACACATATTATTAATTAAAGAATTTGTTATTTTAATTATCTATTTTAATTAATTAATGGTATTTTTTTTATTTACAAAATAATTTATTATTAAGTATATGTTGAATGAAATAATTAAAATTTTCAGGATATTTCATTCAAAATATAACTACTAAAAAAAGAATAAAAATATAATTATAAAGAAGTAAAGTAAAAAAAAAAATTTAAAAAAATTTAATCTACATGTCACTAAAAGATTATCAAATACAAATGGAGATAAATTTAAGGACCACAAATTAAATAATTGACAAATTTCAAAGATTAAAAATAAATAATTGAAATTTAAAGGGTCAAAATCAAACAATTAAAAAATTTTAAAAATTAAAATCAAATAATTGAAATTTAAAAAGTTAAAATCAAACAATTAAAAAACTTAAGAGGGAAAAATTGCATTTAGACCTATTATAGTAGTAAAAATATGATGAATAAAAAATGGTAAAAATTAATGGTCCACCCATGGACCATAAAATGTGATGAAAAGAAATCACAATGACACACAAGAAAGAAAATAAAACAAATTTTCACAAGTGAAAAGGACACTAACGAGCTATCAAATTCTCTGACACACTTTTGATCTTCAGCTGTTTCAAAACCTTGTGAACCATATCAACTCTCATTGGATATTATTATCCAATCTCATTTATGTTCCAACACCAAACAAACTCTCCCAGCAACTCACTCACTCAACACAATATTCAAACTTACATAATTGCAAAATAACAATGCAATCATTAACTTCCTTTCTAGCTTTCTTCATTCTCTTAACATCATTATCACACCCTTCACATTCAAACACTGTCCCTTCATATCCCACTCCAACTCAACCCCAAATATGCAAACTAGACCTCTCCAACGAACTATTCGGCGGCGTAAACGTCGCATGCGGCAACAACCTCGACCGAAGCCGCTGTTGTCCCGTACTCGCTGCTTGGCTCTTCGCAGCTCACGCGCGAAGAGCCTTAGAGATTTCTCCTCCACCAACGGAAAATGCCATTGACCTTCCGAGGATGCCGGATGATTCGCAGAAGTGTGTTAACTCACTCCAAGACTCTCTTCGAAACAGAAACATCATAATCCCAACACCAAATGCTAGCTGTGATGCTGTATTATGTTTCTGTGGAATCAGGCTTCATCAGATAAGCTCATTGAATTGTCCAACCGCTTTTAATGTTTCGGATTCGACTACTGTTCACAATGTATCTGGTTCTCATAAAGCTACTCCTACTGCTGCAGTTCGTGATTTGGAGAAGAATTGCCGTAACTCTTCTTATGCTGGTTGCACCAATTGTCTTGCTGCATTGCAAAAGGTAAATTAATCACTTAGCATCCGACACCTCTAAAAAATGTGTCTCTATTTACACAGACACTTGTGATTACGTTTGATTTATTTATTTTATCAAATTATTATTAGTTAAACGTGCACAAGAAAGAGAGCAAGGAAAGTGACCGAGAGAGGAAGATGTTCAACCGGGACTGTCAACTGATGGCACTAACATGGCTATTGGGAAAGAACAAGACGTTGTATATACCAACAGTATCAGCGGTGTTACGTGCTATAATGTACAGTGCTCATCCACACGATATAATGTGTAGTCCAGACCAAGAGAACATGCCATTGGCCGTTGATTCGATGCAATTCGATCACACGAGTAGTAGTGAGGCACAATCTTGGCCGTTCATCAAGTTATTGTGGAGTATGATTGTTGTTATGATTGGGATTGTGGTGTTATGAAGTATGAACTATGAAGGGTCTACTACACTGACGGGTTGTTCGAGACTTGCGAGGGTATTATGTGTTAGTCACGTGAAACTATATTATTGGAAAAATGTATATGCAAAGGGACAAAGAGGTACGTTTCAGTTTTGTCCATTTCTGCTATGTGATAGAATAATGCAGCTTTGGACCAAACAAAAAGAAGAGACAATGCAACTTGCAGACAAATGACAACGATTCAAAGAATGTGATTTTACATGTCACGGGCCTCATATCTCATGTTATTGTTCTTAATTTTACTTGGCGTTATTAAGTTTCATTTACCTATCATAAGACTTTAGTTTCTTGCAAAGATGCCACCTTAGAATGCAATATGATTTTACTTGAATCTTAATTATTCGTTGAGTTTATTTGTTGAAATTAATATATTTTACCATCGACATATTGGCATGCTCCATAATGTTACAAGTTGTTGTAAAAAGTTAGTATTCAATTGTATTTGTTGTGAATTCAATGCCAATAACAAAGTATAGAATAAGGAAGGAATAACGAACAAGGAAGAAGAAGAACACAAGAATTGGTTATAACTGCTATTCTTTACTTTCTCTTAGAAAACAAGATTACAAGTTTACAAGAATAACAAATAACCCTCTCACCCTAAATTAGGATTTGCTGTGATGGCAATGATGAGAGACTAGTATGCTATTTATAATAAAACCTAACATACTAACTAATGGGCTTTTTCCACAAGGCCCATTATACAAGCTAACTTAACAATCAAGCTAACTTAACAAATTAGGGTTTAAACACTAAAACCTAATTTAACAAGCATTCTTCGACAAGTACATCCTAGACCCATCTTCGACTACAGCATGTACTTCGACCATGCTAGAGTTCGATCCAAAATCCCACAAATCTCCACCTTGGACCTAACTCTACAGCATCAAGAGACACTAACTAGCTTTCTTCATGCAGCTTTATCAACTGCATACAGTGGAAAAACTTGCAACTTGGCAATGTTTTGGTGATCATATCAGCAGCATTGTGATCTGTCGAGACCTTCAGCACTTGGACTTCTCCACGCTCGATTACTCCTCTGACGAAATGCAGCCTCACATCTATGTGCTTGGTTCGCTCATGATAGGCTGAGTTCTTCGACAGGTGTATTGCACTTTGACTATCACATTTAACAGTGATACCTTGACCTTGAAGTTTCAGCTCCTTTGCAAAACCTTCAAGCCACAATGCTTCTTTCACAGCTTCAGTTAGGGCAATATATTCTGCTTCAGTAGTTGATAAGGCAACAACCTTCTGAAGAGTTGCTTTCCAACTAATTGCTGTACCAAACATAGTAAAAACATATCCAGAAATAGATTTTCTGGAATCCATACAGCCTGCATAATCAGAGTCAACATAGCCTTCGACTGCTGCTTTACTATCTTCACCCAAGGCTCCACCATAAATTAAGACTCTGTTCAGAGACCCATTTATGTACCTTAGAATCCACTTTAACGCTTGCCAGTGAGCCTTTCCAGGATTCGCCATGTACCTGCTTACAAGACTTACTGCATATGCTATGTCGGGTCTAGTACAGACCATAGCATACATCAAAGAACCAACTATATTAGCATATGGGATGCTGTTCATATAGGTTCTTTCGACATCAGTACTGGGACATTGATCAATACTCAGCTTGAATTGAGGGTTTGTTGGAGTCACAACAGGCTTTGAATTCGACATACCAAACTTGTCAAGAATCTTTCGTAGGTATGCCTCTTGAGATAAGCATAATTTCGACTGCTTTCTATCTCTTCGAATGTCAATTCCAAGAATCCTAGATGCAGCTCCCAGATCCTTCATGTCGAACTCCTTATTGAGTTCAGCCTTCACCCTCATTACATCTTCGACATTGTTGCTTGCTATCAGAATATCATCAACATAAAGCAACAAAATAACAAATGAATTTTCAGGTCGAAATCTGGAGTAAACACAGTGGTCGAACTGACTTCTAATGAAACCTATGTGTTCCATGAACTTGTCGAATCTCTTATTCCACTGTCGAGGAGATTGTTTAAGTCCATATAAAGATTTCTTCAGTTTGCACACATAATCTTCTTTCCCCTTTTCGACATACCCTTCAGGTTGCCTCATCAGGATCGTTTCATCTAAGTCACCATACAAGAACGCAGTCTTCACATCCATTTGTTCCAGTTCAAGGTCGAACTGAGCCACCATGGCAAGCAACATTCGAATGGATCTGTGCTTCACAACAGGGGAAAATACATCATTGAAGTCGACACCTTCTTTCTGAGTGAAACCCCTTGCGACTAATCTTGCCTTGTACCTCTTCGACATTACTCCTTCAATTCCTTCCTTAACTTTGAAAATCCACTTACAGCTGACTAACCTTGCCCCAACAGGTTTCTTGATTAGTTCCCAAGTGTGATTATCATGAAGAGATTTCATCTCATCATGCATGGCCTTTAGCCATTCAGTCTTCATTCGACTCCTTATAGCTTCCTTATAATCTCTAGGTTCTTCGTCTAGAACTTCACTTGCAGAGATTAAGGCATAAGCTACAAGATCTGCATATCCAAGTCTCTGAGGTGGTTTTATGACTCTTCTTTGCCTATCTCTCGACAATAGGTAGTCATCAACAGTTTCCTCAACATCATCAGAATCTTCTGTTTCTTCTTCGACTTCATCTGGGATACGCATTTCAGCATCAACATGCTCCACCTCAACAGGAATCTCTACCTGTTCCAGCTCTTCGTCAACATCATCAGTTTTCTTGAAAGCCATTTCAGTTTCATTGAAAACTACATCTCGACTGGTGATACACCTCCTGTGACCTGGCTCTAGGCACCATAGCCTATAAGCTTTCACTCCTTCAGGGTATCCCATAAACATGCATTTCAGAGCTCTAGGTTCGACCTTGTCTTGCCTAATGTGAGCATAGGCTACACAGCCAAATACTCTTAGTTTGTCGAGATCTGGTGGATGTCCCGACCAAACTTCTTCAGGTGTCTTCATATCTAACGCTGTCGAAGAACATCTGTTTATCAGATATGCTGCTGTCGAGACAGCCTCAGCCCAAAACACCTTCTTTAATCCCGCACTAGTCAACATGCATCTAACTCTCTCCAAAATAGTTCGATTAAACCTTTCAGCCAAACCATTTTGTTGTGGAGTACCTGCGGTAGTTCTGTGCCTTGCAATACCAGAGGCAACACAAAAACTGTCGAACGCCTCATTGCAAAACTCAAGGCCATTGTCGGTTCTCAACCTCTTTACCTTTCTGCCAGTTTGATTTTCGACAAGAGTCTTCCAACTTTTGAAATTCTCAAAAGTTTCATCCTTAGTCTTCTGGATGAATACCCATAACTTTCTGGAATAGTCATCTACTATGGATAGAAAATACTTTGCTCCTGAATGTGATGGACACCTTGCAGGCCCCCAAAGATCAGCATGGATGTAATCAAGGGATCCATGTGTTCTCTGTTTGCCTTTGTTGAACTTCATTCTACAGGACTTTCCAAGTACACAGGGTTCACAAAACTTCAGCTTTTCGACTTTATCTCCACCAAGCAGATTTTGTTTCCCTAATTCGACCAGACCCCTTTCACTGACATGGCCCAATCTCATGTGCCAAATTTCTGTCTTCGACAAAGGTTTCGTGGATGCAACATTTATCGAACCACTTACAACTTCAGCCTCAAGGGTATACAAGCCTTGTTTCTTCACGCCTCTCAAGACTTCCTTCGACCCTTTCATGACTCTCAGGATACTTTTCTCTCCTTGAAAAACATATCCTTTCTTGTCGAATTCACCAAGAGAAATCAAATTTCTCTTCAAATCAGGTACATACCTGACTTCAGTCAACAATCTTATTGACTCATCATGGAGCTTGAATCTCACAGATCCAACGCCTGCAATCTTGCAAGCTTTGTTGTTTCCCAGCAATACAGATCCACTATCTTGATCACATAATTCCTCGAACAAGTCTTTGTTTGGAGTCATGTGCCAAGTGCATCCAGAATCCATAATCCACTCCTTCGACGAGTTGTTGCTTGAAACCACAAGAACATCAGATGATTCGAAATCATCTTGGACAATAGCTGCATTGCCATTATCCTTACCTCCATGATCTTTCAGGCATTCAGGGCACACCTTTCTTGTGTGACCTACTTTCTTACAGTGATAGCATCTAATACCAGATGTGTCACCACTATAAGACTTCGACTGATTTTTACCTTTCCTCTTGTCGAATTTTCCTTTAACAGCCAAACCTTCACCAATCGTCGAAGGTTTATGCTCCTTGCGTTCGTTCAAGTCCTTAGAGTACAAGGCTGATTGAACTTCTTCAAAGGTCAGGGACTCTCTTCCATACAAGAGGGTTTCTTTGAAGTGAGCATGTGATCTGGGCAAAGCGCACAATAATAACAGCGCTTGATCTTCATCATCAATCTTTACATCAATATTTTCAAGATCAAGAATCAGTTTGTTGAACATATCCAACTGCTCAGCCAACACTTTGTCTTCGATCATCTTGAATGAATACAAAGCTTGCTTCAGGTAGAGTCGATTTACCAGAGATTTGGTCATATACAAACTTTCAAGTTTCACCCATAACCCTGATGCCGTCGTCTCCTTCGATACCTGTCGAAGAACCTTATCACCAAGGCTCAACAAAATTGCGCTGTGTGCTTTCTCGATCATGGCCGTCTTCTCTCTTTCTGTTAACGCAACGTCCATCGCCGTTGCTCCCTTCAACGCTTCCAAACAACCCTGCTGAACCAGTAGAGCTTTCATCTTCAAGCGCCATAGACCGAAATCATTCACTCCGGTGAACTTTTCGATCTCATACTTTGTTGAAGGCATCTTCTCCACGCTCACCGCACCAATTTGTTGTGAATTCAATGCCAATAACAAAGTATAGAATAAGGAAGGAATAACGAACAAGGAAGAAGAAGAACACAAGAATTGGTTATAACTGCTATTCTTTACTTTCTCTTAGA